CTTTAGAGAAGGGCCCACCAGAAAGCCTGTAGGTGAACATCACACACTACATGAGCCACAGTCTAAACTCCTTAAAGGGGGATGTATAGGGGATTATATATGGGACTACCATAGGGGTTACTAAGGGCGATACTAGGAGTTTAGACTATAGCTCACATGGAAAGCCAACAACTGCAAGCCGACCCAGGGATTCAGACAAGAGGGGAAAGTAGCGCGAATGCCGTATTTCCAATTTCCAACTCTTTGGCCTCTACCCAATCTAACCTAACGTTAAGCCCTAAACCCTTAGCGTCGCCAACAGTTTGCCCTATGATACCCCTGTACCCCATATCTCGTTCAAAGGGACCTCAAACTCCAAACCCTAAACCCTGAATCGGGTTTAGGGTTTAGGGGTTTAGGGTTTAGGCCTAAATCCTAGGCCCCAACCCTTTTTTGAACTCTTCTGCATCCGTCATGATGCAGTAAAAGGAGTGCCGGGGCCTCGCGTGGTTCGTGCTACCCGAGCGCCTCAGCAGCATTAGACATGGAGTAGTATGATAATCAAGGTTTAGGGTTTTGGGTTTAGGGATAGAGAGTTTAGGGCTTTGGGGTTTTGGGTTTTGGGTTTTGGGATCAGTAGGGTTCAGGTTTTGGAGTAGAGTGGCTAGATCCCCATAAGCCCATTCTAACCCCCATGTGTCTTGAGGGCCTCCAAGGGCTCCCTGTTTTCAGAAAAAGCCGTATCAGAAGACCAGCGCACAACACAGAGGATCTTTCTGAAATTCCCGGGTTCATTTGACCTTGTCCTATATGCACACATGGAGTTTAGGGTTCAGGGCCCAGGTGTTAAGGGTAAGGTCTGGGGTCAAGAGCCGCACATGTCAGTCTAGGCTTGCATGTCTTGGACGCGAAGAAATTCCACGGAAGCTTCCCCACACCCCCAAACTCTCACGTAGTCAGACATTAGATTCACAAGGGTTACGCCTCCTCTCTGCCTAGTTGAGACTGATATTGATGTTGCTTGTGAGCTATATGCGTACCGTAGCTTGTTTCCAAAGCTCCAGGGTCCCAGAGGGTGAGCACCGAAAGCGAAGAGTTCTTTCTGCCAGGGCAAGCTTTGGGGGACACAAGATGTATCTGGCCGCAGCCTGGTCTACCCCGTATGTCATGGATGTTGGTGTAGAGGCCCCCTTGAGCCCAACCCTCACTGTTGAGCTCCTTGTAAGACTAAGGCTGACCTCTACACAAGAGGATAAATCACCTCCCCGTAATATTAACCCGCCACAATCGGAGTAATACTTCTGTCTCAAACCCTAAGCCATAAACCCCTTGAACCATGGGGTCCTAAACCCTAAACCCTAAACAGGGGGTCCTATAGGCACTTCAGCTAAGGAATCAGTTGAAGCTGCCAGACGCCTCTGCCAGGACTGCAAGTGTTCGGGCTTTGCCGGAAAGTTGTAGAATTTAGGGATTGTGGGTTGAGAGTTGAAGGTCGAGGGCTTATTGTTTAGGGATTATGGGTTGAGGTCTTAGGATCTAAGGATTATGGATTGAGAGTTGAGGATCGAGGGCTTAGGGTTAGGGTACAGCGCTTAGGTTTTAGGCTGCTATTATGCATGGGGCAGTATACACAATGTAGTACGGGATCCTGACCATCGCTCCTTACCACACCCCAGGCACATGACAATTAAACTCATGGTTCACGGGTCCAGGACCCAAACATTAGTATCTGAACCTGAACCCTGAGCCTTAAGCCCAGGATTTACTGTTTAGGCGCTGAGTTTAGGGATCCGAATATACATGTAATACCTACATTGGGCCCTAAAGTCCGTAACTATAACCTACATTGGGCTATTTGGATCCCTATGGCCAGTATCTGGATGTGTTTTGGGACACGAAGCTCGATTCGCTGGGTATTGGTTGGGTACTGCCCCCCTGGACCCCAAAAGTATGTAAAATAATGGCCTTTATGGCGATTATTCTGGGTTAGCGCTATTATTTTACATACTTTTAGGGTTTAGGCCCTCGTAATCAGAGTAGTATGATGGGCGATAAATACATGTAAAATTGTTTTGTGTCTAGCTGTTGCTGGGTGCCTTGAAGGGCTCAGGGTCTAGACCGAGGATTTCGGATCCAATTTCGATCAGGGCTCCAGAACAGTTTGAGTGTGGGTTTTTTGCGTCTCTGAGGTTGAATTTTGGGGCTAAGCCTATTATCGGGGGGTGCTTCAGGGCTTGTGGATATAGGCTTTAGAGCTTTGGGGTTAGAATGTCGTGCTTGGGGGATGCAAGAGTTTAGTTGAGAGGTCAACAAGCTCTGACAGCAACCCATCAAATCCAAGCTTAGTAGTACCCTGAGCCAAAAACCTGGCAGCAAGGTTTAGGATCGATTTGCGTTACCCTAAAATCCTAGGCCCCAAACCGTCAAGTCACAAACGGCCCCGAGCCAGATAATGCGGTAGTGTCTATCTTATTTGCCATTCCGCCCCGCCCCGCCAACCCCAGAGGTAAGTAGTTCCTCAGGATTTGCTGGGAGACTCCCAGCCCTGCACACCTAAACCCTGAACCGAAAGCTTACGCCTACACCCTCAATGCCACAGGGTCCATGTAGTTATATAATATAGACTTAAGGCCCCGAGAGCTTGCGGCAATGCAGCGTCTTCAATGATATCAATGCAGTTTCGAGGTTCACTGTGCTAGGACTACATGAGAGTCAAAACAGGAAATCATGTTCAGCTTGGAAGCTTTCTACCCTAAAGCCTAAGCCATGTCTGCAGGCATGCCAAGATTGACGCCTTGGGGAGTGTGAACTGCTTTCATCAGATTGTCGGGTACCTAAGCTTTGCTGTGAAGGATTGAGGGAAGGATTCGGGATTTGGGTTATCGTTTTCGCCTGGTGTTTTCCATTCCCCCGCATTACATATTTGTATAACCCCGAAGTATATTACTACATACCCCTGTATTTATATATTCCTTTATCCCCGGCATGTTGGGGGTAATATAAAAGCAGATGCATCGCATAGCGTCATGGAGGTTTTGACCATATCGACGCTAGTTCACCACTTATGGCAGCATTATGGACCTAGGAAATGAGTCTCCAAAATGATAATGAAGTTGTGTGTTGATGGCGGAGGAAATCTTGCACTACCTGGGTGCGCTTCTGTATTTGTTAGGCATCATGTCTTTTCCAGCACGAGCAGCATCTGAACCCCAAACCTCAAACCTAGACGGAAGGAGTGCTTCTTTAAGTGAAACACCGGGTGCCACACGGTTTAGGGTTTCGGGTGTCCTTCTATACATTCGACGTGTTCAATGGTATTCCTTTTATAACCCTTGAAAGGTGCCCACATAACCTCCTTGCCCACCAATTGATCCTTAGGGCTCTGAAGGCGCTCTATGGGAAGCCCTTTGGGCCGTAAATATATACTACATACCGACCCTAAACCCCAAACCCTAAACAGTAGACCCTAGACCCAGATCTTGAGACCATGAACTTGGTTTTGGCCCACCAGCATATCACAATACACTGTACTGCTGATTAGGGTCTAAGGGTCGGCTTTGCCAACCCCCACCCACAGGGTTTAGGCTTTAGGATTTAGGGCTCCAACACCCTGATACATGAAATTTCTGATTACAACGACTTCAGTAACCTTTTCTTATATCAAAGGCCACAACCTTGTGTCCTAAATGCTGAGCCCTAAACTCCATACACCTGCCGTTGTCAGACACCCCCTACCCATATTGGAGCCTCATCACTACCTGAGGCTGCCTGTCCTGGGTGCTGTTTAGCGTTTAGCGTTTAAGGCTGATTGCTTAGGGTGGTTTAGGATTCTGGATTTCGGGTTTGGGGTTTCGGGTTCAGATTAGGGTTTTGACTGGGAGGTCTCTGGGTGGTTGTTTGTGAGGCTACAAGTACCCCAAGCTGGGGTATAGCCTAAACCCTAAACCCTAAACCCTAAACCATGTAGCTATCCTGATGTCAACCCCAGTTTAATAACCCGGGAGCCTTCAAGCACAAACAGGGGAGCTAGTGAAAAGGATCTTCCAGAGAGAACGCCTTAAGGAGCATTGCACTAAGTACTTGTAACTGGGGTCTATAACCCTCCATACAATCTACGTGTCCTGTATAAGCTTAGTGAGGGGGTTCGTAAGCAGGATTATAAGTTATAATCCCAGCTACCCTAAACCTAAACCCTAAACTCTAAACCCGGCCATTGCGAACCCTGTCCGAGTTGGGAACGCCGTAGCCTTTATCAGGGTTTAATGTTTGTGAGGAGGGTTTAGGCTTCACCATTTAGCGTCTAGAGTTTATAATTTAGGGTTTAGGGGTGCTGTGTTCCAGAAATGGGTGGGTATCTCAATATGGAGCCGAAAAGCTGTACAGTATTCTAAGGATCCCACGCCAAGGGACCGTGTATTTCAAAGCGTTTCGGGTTTAGCAGTAACGTCTTCAGATGAGGTACTGTCAGTAGCAGGCTTACCAAGGCAGCATTAAAGGTGTAGATGGGGGCTCCTTGGTAGTTCAGTATACTTCCGAAAATATCACCTAATAGGAGCTTATCCAATATCGGAAATATTCATCCCTGCAATCCTTATATAGTACCAGTGCCCATGTTCGCTTCCATGAATTATGTCAGAAATATTCTATGGTAGCTCAGATCCGCAGCATGATGCCACAAGGTAACATGAGCAGCCCAAGTACGGAGAACAGAGACATGAGTGTCTTGGATACTGTGCCCAGCCAATACCAGTCCAGCCAAATTGTAGACATGCAGAAGTATGAAACCCTCAGTCAAGGCCCTATGCAACCCTAAGGGTCCAAGGACCCAAATAATAGGGTTTTTAGTGCCCAAAACCATTCATATTATAGTATTTGGGCCCTAAAACCCTATTATTCGGGTCTTTGGACCCTTAGGGGAAGACTGTCATTATAAAACCCCAAACGCCTATGAGTCCTCTGAAAAAAACAAGCGCCAGTAGGGCTAGCGTCTGGCAATTTGTTCGCGGCCGCATGCAGTTAGGATGCTGCGCGTCCGGGGAATTTCAGGTGAAGAGCTTGCCGCACTTCCTGTGGAGGAGTTCCTTGGGCTTAGGGTTCCGGGCTTAAGGGTTTAGGGTGGAGGGCTTACCTGAAGCCCCCCCAAAGTACTATTGAGATTTATGTTTTACCTACTTTAGATCCAGGCAGGGTTTAGGTAGAAGGGTGCTCCTCTGAGTTCAGTGTAGTTCCTCCGCGGACCCTAAACCCCAGACCCTTTTGTTCCGGACCCTTGGGATTGAAGGTTCAGCGACGTGCGTGCCTTGAAGAAGCATCTGCACGCACAGCTTGGCTTTCCACCTCGCTTCAGGCAGAGGGTTGTACACCTTGACAGTTGTTTAACCCTGAAGACCCCTAAGCCCTAACACCCTTAAACCCTAACCCTAAACCCTAAACCCTAAACCCCTAAACCGCTAGAGGATGGTGCCAAATTTGGCGCCCCTGGACCTGCAGCTGGTTTTGCTGACTTTCATCGAGGCGTCTTTGATGCAAAGGGAGGAGCTGCTGGATGCAGCGAGAATCGGCGATGCAGTCTGGGTGGAGAGCCTGTTGCAACTTCCCATGAATCCCAATCAGGCGGGTTGCGGCAAATAATGTTTTTTTTTTAGAGTCCTTATGAGGCAAACACATTGTGGGCATATGAGCGAAAATCATGCCAATGAGGTTGATGATGTTGACGATCCGCCTTTGTTGACTGCATCCGCCTATGGCCACGCTGTGGTCGTGGATTTGCTGTTGGAAGCAGGTGAAGACGTGAACGTGGTTGGCTTCAACAGCAACAATGCACTCATTCATGCAGCAATGCATGACGAGCCTGAAGTTGCACGTTTCCTCTTAGTGGCTGGGGCCGACCCAGACCAAACCAACGACGACGGCGAGACAGCTCTGACAGTTGCATCGCGGAATGGCTCCGTCGAAGTAGCACGATTGCTGGTGGAGGCCGGTGCTGATAAGAACACGGTGAATTTGAATGGCTTTACTCCTCTTCATGTGGCGTCTTACGAGAACAGCGCTGATATTGTGCGCCTCCTGGTGAAGGCACATGCTGACACCAACGTGCTTGACGACGAGGGCTGCACTGCTTATGATATTGCATCTGTAGAGGGACACGCTCAGATCGTGAGTATGCTGCGTAGGAAGCAGCGCCGTGTGAATAAAACACGAGCGAGACGCAAACACGGACGACACGCGCCTGTGGCGTAAAACATGTGGTGCAGTTCTAACCGGCAGAACCATCTATGATGGAATCTAGCTATACAAGGGTGTTCTTCCGAAAAGATATGCTTACTGCGCACCATGAGTCCTGCATCTACGATACGTCCGCACGTAGTGATTAGACCGGTCATTGGAGGCACAGCGCACTGTGGAAGCCTGAACAAGGAGCAACACAACGTATTCTCATATTGATCTTCATTATTGTTATTATTATTGTTATTATTATTGCTATTATTATTATTGCTATAATTATTATTGTTAGTATTATTGCTATTATTATTATTGTTATTATTATTGTTATTATTATTGTTATTCTTATTCTTATTGTTATTATTGTTGTTATTATTGCTATTCTTCTTCTTATTATTATTATTGCTATTATTATTATTATTGTTAGTTATTATTATTGTTATTATTATTATGATTGTTATTGTTATTATTGCTATAATTATTATTGTTAGTATTATTGCTATTATTATTTTTTTTTAATTATTGTTACTATTATTATTGTTATTATTATTATTGTTATTGTGATTGTTATTGTTATTATTGTTGTTATTATTATTACAGCATTACGTTACAAGGTAACAAACCCCCCAAGCCCAGTATGCACACCCTTGCAATACATTCGAGAGATCCTAAACGCCAAACCTCGGTCAAAGTGTTTGGGCCCCTACCTACCGTAACCAATGTGGTCTCTCCAACATGAGGCTTGTGTCGAAGGAAAGCTACATGATGGCTTACTCCCTCCCCCTGAATTATTATACAAACTGTAACCAAAACTGCCCCAATACTGTTGATGGACAAAATGCCGCATGACCTCAAATATGTAACATACTATACCTGGAGCCGTAAGATCTCAGGGTATTGTAAACCATAAACCCCAAATCTCAGATCCTAGATCGCAAGCTCCAAGCCCTAAACCCCTACCTTAAACCCTCCGGGTCCCAGGGGAAATCCTGCGCAAGCCGTTCTCAGGCTATGTTTGCAGTCGCCACTGGACTGAGCATGAAGGACATGAGGAGCGTTTTTAAGGCGCTTCCAGGGTTTTCGGTTTAGGGTTTGGGGTTGGGGTTTAAGGTAGGGGTTTAGGTAGGGACAAATCCCAGTTACCCTAAGGGTTTAGGGTATATAGGGTTTAGGGTATATGGGGTTTAGGGTATAGGGTTTAGGGTATATAGGGTATATAGGGTTTAGGGTATAGGATTCAGGGTTTGGGGTTGGGGTTTAAGGATGAGGGTTTAGGGTCCAAGGATTAGGGTTTAGAGTTAAGGGATCAGGGCTAAGGTTGGCTGATGATAGTGAGAAAGTAGGGTTTTGGGTGAAACTAGGCATAAACGACATTCAACTTAATGATCCTACAGCGTACAAGGCACCCAAAACCCGAAATCCTAGACTCCTAAACTAAACCCTGAAGGACAGAAAACTAAATGTCTCATGGGGCATGGTCTAGGGTAGCAAGGCCCAACAGCTGTTAAACAACGCCGGCTTGAACAGCTTCTTGGCCAGTATCGTTAAGTCAAGGCCGCTGTCGAGTGTAGAGTACCGTCCTCAACAGAGGCTCACGTGGGTTCCATGGTTGCTTGGCAGGGGACAGCCCCGAACCTTAAACTTACCTAGTCAAAGGTGCATCTTCGCGGATTTTGCGGTCCACAACTTTATATCGACATAATCCTAAACCCTAGAACCCTATACGCCCTAAGCCCTAAGCCCTTTGAATTTGTTGTTGGTACTTGGAACCCCGAATGTGAATGTAATTATTCGGACCTTATCCCTAAGGGTCCAAGGACCCAAATAATAGCGTTTTAGGTCCGAAATACTATACTATTAATGGTATTGGTCCTAAAAACCCATTATTTGGGTCCTTGGACCCTTAGGGTATGGGTAGGCGGTCAGGCGGCCGTCAGATTATTGGACTTCCTCAAGCTTGCTCCCTTACCCTGAGGGACCCAAATAATAGTGTCCCTTTAAAGGGGGTATAGGGGGATATATAGGGCTATATGGGGACTTTCTAAGGGTCCAAGGACCCAAATAGTAGGGTTTTAGGGCCCAAACACCATTCATGGTATAGTATTTGGGCCCTAAAACCCTATCATTTGGTTCCTCGGACCCTTAGGGTTACACGATTACAGGTTTAGGGTTTAGGGGTTCGGGGTTTAGGGTTTAAGGGGTTTAATTAGGGGTTTTAGGGCTTTAAAATTAGGGTATAGCTGAACCCAACAGTATGTAGAATGATAGCTTGTTTGGCTCTTTTTAAGGACTTTGAGCCATCGTTTCACGTACTCTTGAGGTCCGGCTAGAGTTTGAGGTTTTGGGTTGTGGGTCTAGGTGGAGGGTTCAAGGTTTAGGGTTTAAGGGTTTAGGGTTGAAAATGCAGGGTTTACCCAAGGGCTTCTATGTTATTTATTTTTGGGTTTGTTTTGTTTTTGGCAAAGCATTGTAGTATACTACCCGAGAAGGAACCACGCCGGGTTGCGGGTAGTAGGGGTAGATTCAAACCGTCTACCCCTGAACCCTAAACCCTTAAACCCTAGAACTCTTAAAACCTAAGCCCACGGCTAGTTGTACAGGATCAGAGGCGAGCTCTTGATTTTGCCAGCTTCGGGTGTCAGAGTTTTGGGGATACGTAGGGATTTTAGTTTAGGATTTGGGGGAACATGGAGATTTTGGTTTCAGGTTTAGGCTACTGAAATAGACCCCTGTCCCTGACACTAACCCTCTCAAAAGCAATGCTTTCAAAATTGTTCAGCACTTCATGCTTGTCTTGGGTGAACTCGAATGAATTAGAGTTTCTTGCCCAGAAATGTTTTCCGATCCCCCAGCCGAACCGATCGCTTCCCCTATTGATCGTGGCAGTACAGTATTAGCGGGCGCTCTCGCGCAACCTGTCCTGCGAATTTTCGTCAGCCCCGTCCCCTAATGATAAACCTCCCCACCCTCGAAATAGCTACTACCTAACTACCGTACCATTAAGTTTTCTATATGTTGTTAAAATAGCGGGAAGATAAGAAAGGTCGCTTGGTCGTTTTACTGGTGGGCACGCTAAGCAGCGTCTCCAGTTAAACAGCAACCGATAATGTTTGTTGGTAGAAAGGGAGGCCACGGGTTCGAGAAATGCACAGGTATGTTTTGAAATATTGTTGGGAGGGTTGTTCAAACTTAGGTCGAACGGATCGTCACGATCGGAGCTTTGAGAGCAACACATATGGTAGTTTCCCTAGAAAAGGGGCCCCCAATATAGACCCCCAAATACTACAATCCTTATAATAGGGACCCCCAAAATGGTAACCCTAATTTTGGGAAATCCCCATATCTTGGACCGGATCTTGGACCCGCCGTTTGTCTATCCGTTGCGCAACATGAATGGGTGGAATCAGGCCGTAGCCAAACAGGAATTACGTTTCAATGTCTAAAGTCCCCCTTAAGTAGATAGAATATGGGGTATATGGGGTTCTCATTATAATCTACCCAAAGCCATATTGTATCTACTTAAGGGGGACTATAGATGTACATAGTGAGACTTGTCTTAGTAGCAATGCTGACAGTAGCCATAGGAACAACAATATTGATGATTAACAACCAGTAACAAAAGCAGCGGCAGCAATGATCGTAGTAATAATCACATCCCCCAATAACAAGCACCAGACACCCCAACACTACCCCCCTCCCCCCCTTATATATGTAGTACCATTATTTACTAGAGGGAACATACGTTGTTAGGGGGGTGGGGAGGGTTATTAGATGGGGAAGAGGATGGGAGTTTCAGTTCTTTTGGTTCTCGGCCTCCTCATTGGCCCTATCCCTAAACCCTAAACCCTAAACCCTTAGCCCCAAACCCTAAACGCTAAATCCTAAACCCTAAGCCTGACAGGTCTTCCAATCTGTGGACAAGGATAGGTTCCTTGGCCCGTTACCTTTCAGCTTTGAGCAGACGGGTGTTTCCCCCAAGTTAGGGGTAGGGCTTTGGGCTTAGGGTTTACGGTTCAGGGCTTTGGGTTTGGGGATTAGGGTTTAGGGTTTAGGGGTTCGGGTTTGCCTCTGAAATTGGGCGAGCTTCCCATAATCAGGACTATCGTGTTTTGAGATCTGTATTGGGTTCCCCCCTATTTAGGCAAACTATCATAGCGGGGCTTCCAAAAATGCCTTCTGGACTCCCTATAGTGAGGATAAATCGAAATTGGGGATCTATACTGCGCCCCTTTTTTATGGAACCCCCCCACGTGGCATCTGCAGCTATGGAAATTGTTGCTACCAGTTTCACTGGCTGGCTTAGAGTCCTGATTTCAGCGCGGGAAAGTTGAGTGCCGTACGAGATTCAACTCCAAGGAACATCCCCTAAGGGTCCAAGGACCCAAATAAAGAGGTTTTAGGTCCCAAATACTATAATATCAATGGTATTTGGGCCCTAAAACCCTATTATTTGGGTCCTTGGTCCCTTAGGGATCTGTACAACCAGGTGTCACGCGCGGCAGCTACCATTGTACATCTAGGCGCTGCTGATGACATCTGTCCTACAATCTGCCTCAACCCCAATCTTAACCCCCCTAAACCCTACCTTAGACCCAAATGGACCTTCAGTTCAGGACCTTATAGAGTATGTCCTTATTTGAAACCCTATGTCTGAAGGTCTCTTTTGTGCAAGGCAACACTTAACCCATCCGTTGCTGTGAGGATGCATGGGCGTAACTAAGGTAGTCAAGGCTCCTCTCGTGCTGAATTCCGGAAATCCAGGAGGTATGCAGGAACCCCTTCTGGCCAAATAGGATGAACCAGGTAGGCAGGGAGCTTTAATGTGTATAGGGTTTAGGCTTCTTTGCCTGCAGGCACCGTGTATCGTTGAAAGTTCTGGAAATCTTAGACCCTTCGGGAATATCTGTTGATCGCCAGCTGTCGAACATTGGTCCTTCCACTACGACCCTATAAATGGCCAAACCCTGCAAACTGAAAGCCTGAGGCTCTAAGGACCCATATTT